AACTGCTGAGGCGTGAGTTGTCGCATTGTCGTGGTGGAAGAGGACTTTTTTGTGGGCCTATCGTGGACGTTTCTCTAGCAACTCGGTTTTCAAACGATCTAATAACGATGAATAATATTCGCCTGTAATGGTTTTATCCTTTTTCAGATAGTCAATGAAGATCATTCCTTGCGAATTCCAAAAGACAGTCGCCATAACCTTCCCGGCCGAAGGAATTGTCTTCGCCTTTTTCGGAGCAGATTCCCCCTTGATAACTCATTGTTTAGACTATTCTCTGGTCTCAGGAGTGTAGTGATCTACAGTGATGAAACGACGCTTAAAGTCTTGCGGATTTTGCAGGAACAGCTGTAAACCATTCTTGCAACACTTCGCACGATGTCGTTTTTGGTCAATCGTGAGAAATCGCGGCACCCATCTAGCGGATAGCTTTTTCACGTTCAAATGTTGGTGCAAAATATTATGTATCCGTTCGCTCGAGATGCCTACAGTACTAGCAATCTCACGCACCTTCACTCTTCTGTCAGCCATCACTATATCATGGATTTTATCAATGATTTCTGAAGTGGTAACCTTAACAGGGCGTCCAGAACGTTCAGCGTCTTTTGTGCTCATATGGCCACTCCGAAAAATTTTGAAACCACTTATAGACCATTCTAATCGAAGGTGCACAATTACCATAATATTTATCAAGCTTCTGTTTAATCTCCTGAGGCGTTTTGCTTTTGAAAAAGTAATGATTAATCAATACACGAAATTCTTTTTCATCCATTTTTTTACAACCACTCGATTTCTTTGATTGAATCGAATGTAAAACGCAAAGTAATTGACTGATCTGGCTGAAACTTGGTGTGTGCTCTTCCAAGATATGTCACTAACTGAAAATAACCTTGATACGCACTAGTAGCGCCATCTCTCTGACTTTGCACGGACTTTTCAAACGACCCTCGTATTCATATCTTTTGCTTGCTAGAGCGTCATAACACATGAAATAATCAGCATAATTTGCGATCGACAATTGCCTGTATTGTAATATTAACGTTTAGGAGTAGTTCATCCTCGAAATGATAGATAATAGGAAAACGCCGATACACGTAAATTTTGTTTTAAGGCAATTTTTGGCTATTTCAAACAGTTTAAAACATTAAATTATCAATTTTGTTCAAAGTTGGTAGACTTGTTACCTATACAGAGGTTAGCATGTGTGCAAAGTTTTAGATCAAAATATTGATAAGGGGCCGACTTATCAACTGTTGAAAAAATATTGGACTTTTTTTTATTAATTCGATTTCTCGGAGACTAATAATGATATGGACGTAATTCTTTTTTTAAAAGACACAGAAAGAGTTTCACTTTTAAAATGTAACTAGTAAAATACCAAATCATTTATTTATGCCATTGTTATAAACAATTTTTTTAAAAAATCGACGATATCTCAAAAAACGATGTTTTTTTTTTAATTTTTGCACCATCGTGTTCCTTGTCATTTTTTACAAAAAAAAACCGTTGAGAAAATTAAGTGCCCGCTATTAGGATTAAGACAGCACTAAAATGAAACGAACCGCGCGCTTGCTGCTCGGCCGCCCGGCCGTCCGCTACTCGTGCGGTTCCAACGTTGCTTGCGGCAAATGCCTTTAACGAATGAATAATTTCATATTCTATCAGTCTATATGTATTTATTTCAATAATATATGACCGGAGGCTCATATGGAAAGAACACATATTGTCAAAGCGCAAATAGTTAGAAATGAAATGAAGAAAAATATGTTGTCTCATCATGGAAAATTAGAGCTGTTAATTGAAAACAAGTTATTGCTATACAAAGCTGTACTCAAACTAGTCTAGAGATTTATTAGATGCAACTATGGAATGTTGTTTCAAATTCAAATATTGAAATTTTGTAAAGATTTCAATCAAAAGTCTTACGTAGTATCGTATGGGCCACATGGTTCGTCTCAAATGAATTTATAGACAGCGATCTGCAGGTTCCAACAGTAAAAGGACAAATCGTAAAGTTTCACGCAAAATATTACTTCATATTTCAAAATGACCCAAATAAAGTTATCAGCATACATCTCAAAATATCAATCCCTAAGATCAGACTCAAGAAAAATAAAATAATAAATAAATAAATCCTAATCTATTTGATACATGCATGCTTTAACATTAAAAATAAGAGAATACTCGCTGGAGTATTCCTCTGAATTTCATGTTCATGTAACCATATTATAATAACATTTATTTATTGTCTCAATACATTAAACAGACTGTAAATAAATTGGGAGTAATAAAAAACAAGAGAAAAACAAGATATGGAAAATCAAAACGGCATACAGAAATTAATACAATTTTTGTTTTTTTCCTTCTCATACAACACAAGTACAATTTTTACTGAATCGTTGTGCTTATGTTGATAATCTAAGAGTCGCCTATGAACTTCAGGAGATTTAGTTTGACCAAATATAGCTCAAGTAATATAGAGGGTGTCCTATTTTAAAGGAACCACTTCGAAATTTTCGACGATTGGCGCTGTACAAAAAAATTGTTCAGACAACAGTTGTTTGGGACAATGGGGGTAACCTTTCTGTGAAATCCGATTTGATCTTGAGATTTATTTTCAAGGTCATTTGAAGGTCAAAGTCATTTTTTAAATAGGAACCTATATTTTTGATCCCGGATTCGGAAAGAGCGGAAGATTTTACGTTCAGATAACGTATTATGCGTGGGGTGCGGTTAACCCCCCCCCGGCCTAAGGTCATGTAGGGGTCAAATTTATGATTTTCTTCATCTATGCACAGGGATGATCGGGCAAGGGTAAGGTTAATTGTAATAACCCAATAACTCCAATACCCAATAACTCGATAACCTCAATAACCCCAATAACCCAATAACCAAGAGATTTTGAATAAGAACACCCATTTTTTATCCCGGATTCGAAAAGAACGGGAAATTCTACGTTTAGATAAAGTATTATGTTGTGGGAGCGGTTCACCCCCCATCCCACCGGGGCAAGGGTGAGGATAATAAGGTAATGATTACCCAGCCAGTGAAGGCAAGGTATTGATTACCCAGCCAATGAAGGTAAGGTATTGATTACCCAGCCAATGAAGGCAAGGTATTGATTACCTAGCCGGGTGCTGCGGGTAATACCTTGCTGCAGCACGATATCGGCCTTGACATGCCCCGAGAGACAACAGGATATCAACAATTTTGATTCTCGAATAATCCGGCATATTCCCTCCTTTTAAGTCGACTAAGAAAATTACACTTGAACTATCCTGAGAAGGACTGTTCGCGAATCACTATCGTCATAAACAATACAAAAAAAGTGTTATTAAACAATTTAGTTGAAACTTTGTAGGCTTGTCCGGAATCACACCAGAAAAAAGAATGGAAATAACATATTATCCCACAAAATGGAAAATGACACTTCTCATGAAGGCTTTGAATACATGAAGCCGACTTTGAAAATCAACCTGAAGTTAAGTTCAAGGTCACTGTTGTTTGACCCTACAATTTTTTTGGGATATTGGGGTTATTGAATTATTGGGGTTATCAGGTTATTGGGGTTATCGAGTTATTGGGTATTGGAGTTATTGGGTTATTACAATTAACCTTACCCTTGCTCGATCATCCCTGTGCATAGATGAAGAAAATCATAAATTTGACCCCTACATGACCTTAGGCGAGGGGGGGGGGGGGTTAACCGATCCCCACACATAATACGTTATCTGAACGTAGAATTTTCCGCTCTTTCGGAATCCAGGATCAAAGACTTTGACCTTCAAATGACCTTGAATATAAATCTCAAGGTCAAATCGGATTTCATCGAAAGGTTGCCCCTATTGTCCCAAACAACTGTTGTCTGAACAATTTTTTTGTACAACGCCAACCGTCGAAAAGTTCGGGGTGGTTCCTTTAAAATGGATCACCCTGTATTTTATATAAATATAATTATATAAAATAATTTGTAACTGCACCTATTGAACTAATTGAAAATCGAAAATATTGTAACATATCATGAAATTTATACTCAATAAATTGCGAGATAGAAACTGGATCATAAGCAACCAAAGTATCTTATATCTCCTCGAATATTTATAGCATTTATTTTGCGTCTGTATTCTACTAGATTGGACTACAACCACTTCCAAACGAAGAAAAATATTGTTGATATATATTGTTGAATAATACCAATAATATGATAAATATTGTTGAATATGATTTAAGTTTATCATCTTTTATATGCTGTCTGCAACTATGCATTATGTATGGATTCACTATGTTCAATTTATGAAATATTCCAGCATTAATTTGTCTGGAGTTCTTTACGTTGTTTTAGAGATGTACCTGAGTACTCTAGTGACGACTAGTCTTAGTATATAATTTTTTTTATGTAAATACAATTTGTAATATACTTGTTTATATAATCTTAATTATATGATTTTATCAGTTATAAAACCCAAATCATTCTACGGGGTGGAGATAGTTCGAATGTCTTACGACTGTGGATATTACTCCGTATGTGAAGATAAGCTACATTAACTACCACCTATTAATACATGTTTACCTCTAATGTTACATAGTAAGTTAAAATCGTCCTCTTTTCTGCTACCGGCCACACTTTTGTTAAAAAGTAAAACTTACATGGATAGGCTTAATACCAAGAGTTTAGAGACTATTTTAAAATAAATTTTACAGTTGCAAGCAGGTATAAATTATGATTTTACACTTTTTATTAGAATAACAAAGCGGAAATTACGGTATGTTATCAGATTTAATTCAAAATTGCTGATTCGTAATTATAATAAAATTTGTTAAATTACAATTTTTACTGCATTGTAAATACAAACTTAATTATAGAACAGGCTGTTGGTATTAGCGGCGGTCTATTAGCATGGAAGATTGAATTTTTCAGAAAAATTTGGAGGGCAGGGGAAGGGGTTATATATAATAAAACCTTGTGAATTATGTTCATAAATATGTTCATACAAATTACGCACCTTTCTATGAGAGACGCTCGTATTCTTGAAGTAATAGTTGATGAATGATTATCGTTCAATTTAAAAATGTTTTCAATTACAGATAGTTCAGTTGATGTAGTGTCCATACCGCAAAAAGAGATCCAGTCATTGACTACCATTCCTGCTGCGATAACATCACTACCCCTATTAACAGTACCAGCCTATAAAAATAAACAGTTATAAAGGCGGTGTGAACGACGTCGAAAGTAACAAGAATTTCGTTTATAAATATATGAAAAAAATAACTAAAATATACGTGTTTAGTATTGAATAATTGTATTATATTAAGTATATATTATATTGAGTATCAATACTTAAAAAAATGCATGTATACATTGTAATCCTCAGCGCGTTATTATGTTATAAAAATATACAAGAGCTAACGTATATCGCTCGCGTGCGTGTGTGTATGTGTGTGTACGAACGTGTGCGTATGTGTTATGTTTGAGATTAAAGTCGTTGTCATAACATGTTTTCATATTATATAACAAAGTAATCTAATCTTGACAAAGTGAAATCAGCAATTAAATATATATGTAGTAAATAAGTGAATGTAGTTTATAGGTTATGATGACGAGTAAGGAGGTCCTTTTAGTATAGTAATAAAGTTCTAGATGTTGTAACGGGGTGGTTATCTTCTTTATTAAGGCTACTTTATTATCCCTCTAGGGCCTACATCATACAAGGGTGGTCCGATAAGTACTTAGCCTCACCGCCCGATGGCGCCATTCTCGCAAAAGAAATATTCTATCACGTAGTACAACCTTCTCGATGGTTACTGTCAAGATTTCAGCCGGATCGGAGTTGTAGTTTATTTTTGAGAGCGTGTGAAAGCAAGTGTGTCCGTTGATTTTTGAAAAATGGAAAAAGAGCAGTATCGGTCGGTGATTCGATTCTTGTTTTTGGAAGGGAAATCGCGCAGCAAAATCAAAAAGCGCTTGGATGCTGTGTACAGTGACTCTTCTCCTTCGAGGCGACCGTCAAAAATTGGTTTAACGAGTTTCAACGTGGTCGCACGTCGATTTTTGAAGAGCCACGTCCAGGTGCTCCGAAAACGGCTACCACTGAGGATAACGTGACAAAAATTCACGATCTCGTATTGGCAGATCAAAATCCCTGATCGAAAATTTGGGCATGAGAAAGCTGTCGGCGCGATGGGTGCCGCGTTTGCTCACTCCGGACAACAAGCGCAACCGTGAGACAACTTCAGAGCAATGTCTGACGCTGTTTAAGCGCAATCCGAAGGAGTTTCTGCGTCGTTTCGTGACAGTCGACGTAACATGGATCCACTGGTAGACACCAGAGACCAAGGAATAGTCGAAACAGTGGACTTAACCCGGCGAAAGTGCTCCGAAGAAGGCGAAGACTGTCCCATCGGCCGGAAAGGTGATGGCCACCGTTTTCTGGGATTCACACGGTGTGATGTACATCGACTACCTGGAGAGGGGTAAAACAGTCACAGGGTTGTACTCTGCCGAATTATTGGGCCGATTCGACGTTGAATTGCAAAAAAATGGCCCCATTTGGTGAAGAAAAAAGTGCTCTTCCACCATGACAACGCACCGGCTCACACCTCCGCCGTCGCCATGGCCAAATTGGTCGAATTAGGCTACGAACTGCTGCCCCATCCACCGTACTCTCCAGATTTAGCCCCGTGTGACTTCTTTTTGTTTCCAAACTTGAAAAAGTCACTCGCCGAGCAGAAATTTGAGTCGAATGAGGAGGTAATTACTACCACGGAAGACTACTTTTCAGACCTCGAGGAAACGTATTTTTCAGACGGGTTAAAGAAGTTGTAGCATCGCTGGGCCAAGTGTATCGAACTAAAAGGAGACTATGTTGAAAAATAAAACGCCACTTTTCCAAAATTTTCGTTTTTCTTTTGTAGGCTAAGTACTTATCGGACCACCCTCGTATCTTGGCTACACCTGGCGCTCGATGTTTCGGGTAGCGCCAGTGTGTAGCCTTCTTCGGGCACCACTGGGAGTTGGTCACACAGGGCTCCACGCATATGTAGCAGCCCCTCAGCTGCGATCGGGACTGAGCAGCCTCCCGATCCTGTGTGGTCTGCTCAGGAGACCGAGGGGACTGATGGGCGCTGACTCCGTGGGAGACGGTGATGGTTACTCTTCCCGCCGTGGCGGTCGCACGTCCATCCTGCGGCCTGACCACGATTGTGGTGTCAGGAACCATACCCCCGTCCACTTGGACCTTGAGCCCTGAGGTGTTGAGCCACCTCTGCCCACTCCCCGAGCAGTTTTTCTGCGCTCTAGCTGTTCATGAAGCGTTTCAGGTACTCCTGCACCTGAGACTGGAGCTCTTGAGCGAATCGCCAGGCACTCTCCACCTCGTTGATCCCCAGACGTACGTGACTGAAGTCGAGGAGGAGAGTTGGCTGCTCCGGGATAAGGGGGTAGTTGTAGACCCAGTGCGATGCCCTACAGGTTTCCCTGGGTCCTGGGCACTGGCTCGCACTGTTCGACGTATGGGGTACGCCGGAATTGAGGGTCTGCACCTCCTGGTCTACGGTGGACTTGGAACACTTGACCTCTTTCTGGTCCTCCGTCTGGGTACAAGCGTCCCGGAGAACGTCCTCCACCGATGAGTTGTGGCACTCCTTTCGGGTGACCCCCTCCAGCTGGACCCTGGCGAAGCTTCGCAGATCTTCTATTAACTGCGTCGCATCAGGTCCCAGCTGTAGATCCAACAACATCTGCATGACCACCTCAAAGGTCTCTTCCTCCACGACGGTTCTCCGGTCCATCTGAAACATCCAAAACAAAAAGAAATCTCTGATGAAACTTCCTGCGCGAAGAAAAACGCTATCAAATAACGCATCTTACCGTTATGCGTTCCCTCGCTATTCATTGCGGGAACGCCCTGGCGCTTGTTAGTTACTGTTTGGGTTTATCGGCCCAACCGTCCTTTGCACGATGGGCACGGTCTTTCTAGGCCTACCTCTCCCTCTAGATTCCTTTAAAGAAGAGTTGTTGCCTCTTGCTTGACCGGCGACCGTCTCTAGGACCTTTCGAGGTCGACCTCGACCTCTCTTGGTTGGGGCAGATACCGGCAAATTCGACGTCTCGGTGGGATTGTTACCTAAGAACGCGCCGGCTGCTAATTTGATCAGCTCGCTCGTCAAATCCCCGCTCGGATAATCGCACGCTTTCGCAGATTCGTTCGCCACCAATGGCTCTTCATATGGTTCATGAGGATCAATGACGGTCGTTTCCTCGCTTTCCTCTTCCTCCCCCGGGCCGTAATACGGTTTAAGGTTTTTGGCATGGAATAGTACTAGCAGGATCTCCAGCTGATTACCCAGTCTGTACATATTGGAACCGCAAACCTCTTCAATCACTTACGGACCGGCGTATTTTGGCGCTAATTTGACTGAAATGTCTTGGACAGCTGAGGAGAGAATCCTGTTCCTCTTTCATACCCAACCTCCGACTTTAAACTCGGATTGCCGTAGCTTTTTAATTATAATGAGCCACATGACGCGCAGCTTCCTCCTTTGATTTGGAGATGGCCCATTCCCATATATTAGGGAGCTTCTCCATACGTTCAACCAAATCTACCACAGCTTGACCCTCCGAACACTCAAGGGCCTGCTGATCTTGGGATCTTCTAAACGTCAAAGGAGGTAACGGCTGACGCCCACAGATGACCATCGCAGGACTATATCGAGTGGCGCTATGAGTTGCCGAGTTCAACACAAAGTTGAACTCTGACAGGTCTTCATCCCAGTTCTTATGATCACGGCTCACGTAAGACGTGATCATGGTTTTGAGCGTCCTGTTTACTCGCTCTGTGGGATTCGCTTGGGGATGACACATGGGAGTCAAGGCGCGTTGGATGCCGTTCATCTGGAGGTATGAATCAACTTCCTGATTCTTGAATTCGGGTTCATTATCCGACAAGAATACCTCTGGCGCGCCAACCCTAGTGACAATTATCTCGTGTAATTCCCTTGCGATTGTCCTCCCATTGGCTTTGCGTATCGCAGTGCACTCTACCCAGCAAGTAAATAAGTGTACAAAGACTAAGACGTACTCAAAACCTCGAGAGCTTTTGGAAAATGGACCAGTGATATCACCGGCCATCACCTACCGGGGTCGTGACACTTGTCTACGATCCATCAGCCCGCAAGGTGCCCATTGTTCCACCTTGCACTGCTGACATACCGGGCAACTTTTTACGTACTCCCTGACCTTATCGTACATCTTAAGCCAGTAGTACAAGCGTCTAACCCTGGAGAACGTACGCTCTCGTCTTTGATGTCCTGCCATAGGAGCATAATGGACCTCCTGGAGCACCTGGTGCCTTTTCTCCCTAGGCACCGCAAGCTTTCACGCTTCATCGTTGTCGATGGACCCTTCACCGTCCTCATCAGGCTGATAGTGATACAGCCTCCCTCCCCCCCACTACCTTCCAAGTAGGGTGTGAGTGTGGGTCTTGGCATACTTCCTGGTATTGTTGCAAATACCAGGCGTCAGTGGTCTCCGGCCGACTATTTATAGCCCTCACTTCAATCCCCTCCTCCTCATAGGCCCTAGACAATGCGTCCGACACACCCTTCAATATTCAATATCGAAGACATTGCCTTGCAATGATATTGTCCACCGCGTTAGTCTTCCTGTAGGATTTCTCATACTGTGGAGCTATTTCAGGCAACTATGATCAGTGATGAGCTTGAAGTGATGCCTTTCAATGTACGGCCGGAACTTTCCAATAGCCGATACCATTGCCAAGCACTCTTTCTCGGGAACCGTATAATTTCTCTTAGCGCTGTTGAGTGATCGGCTGGCGTATTCTATCACCTCGTGAAAGCTCGCTCTTTATCCTCCTCCCGAGAGAAACGTACATTCTTCTTTGTCAGGCGGTTTAAAGATTCAGCGATCATGACAAAGTCGGGTATAAAACATCTATATCACGAGGTCATTCCCATGAATCGCTTCACCTGTTTCACAGTCCGGGGTGTTGGATATTCTAGTATCGGTCGTATCTTCTCGGGATCTGGTCTTACTCCGTCCTGGTTCACAAGAACTCCGTCTTGCAGAAGTGGCTTTTGGCTTTGTGAAACCACAATTACGTCGTCGAGGTAAACAAAAGCTAATGAATCCATATCCGGGCCTATCCGCCGCTCCGTTCATCACATATA